GACTCTTCTTGCTTCACAGGTAGCTGTTGACTGTTATTTTCACTTTATTTGCAAAGACTTACTTTGCTTGTGCCCCATGGACCCTACCGGGAATCCTCCTTGTGCGTGTGACTGTTGGCTGATTTTTTTTACTTCTTGTGTGTGTAGATCAACTTGGCTTGTGGCCGGTACTCACTTCCAGGCAGCCTTTCCTTGCTCAAGTTGCTTCCATGGCCAGTGACCGAGAAGAGCAAACCATGCCCACCGGATCTGCTTCCATGGCCGATTCAAAGGCCACTCCTTGCTTAAGGTCACCTCCACCAGATTTGATTAAACTCTTCCAAGACCAGAACCTTCAAGATGATATAAACAGGATACTCCAAAAACAGAAGCCATGCCATTCAAACCAAACTTTTGTTCCGCACAAAAAATCTCAGATTTTGGGCCCTTATTTTGTGTCTCAGCCACCAGCTTCTCTTGCCTCCATTTACCCACAGCCTAAAGAACATCTTCTCCCCTTCCAGGTAAAACCTGACTGGAATAAATGGATTGGCTCTTTTGGTGCTTGGCCGGTTTGGAGAAAATCAGAATGGACTGACTGGATAAACCGTCTGGAACCTGCTTTTGGTCAAATTTGGAGAGATGCTGGCTTGTTTGAATTTATACAACTCACCAAATGCAGATTCCCCATGGACAAGCCGGTCTTGGGTGCGGCTTTGTTATTCTGGTCTGGCTCTTTCAACTGTTTCCATTTTCCCTGTGAAGCCATGTCTGTAAGCCTTTTTGATGTCAGCTCGTTAACCGGATTGCTCTGTACTGGAGAAGAAATTTCAGCATTGTTAACCCTGCCTCCAGGTGTTGAATACAATGTAGAATTGAAGCCCTCTTATCCAGCTTTCGTGAAGTCTGCCTATGATAAAAGTAAGCCTGTTAGTGCTGATGAGCATATTTCATTTTTGCTTACTTTGATTGGCAAATATATAGTCTGCTCTGCTGGTAAAGGTCCCACTAAAGAGTTTATTCCCTTAGCGGTTGCTTTAGCACATGGCAAACAAATGGCTCTGGGTCCTTTTTTGCTTGCTCATTTATACAGGAGTTGCCAAGACATCGCGGCTCACCCCTTAGTCATTAGTGGTGGGCCGCTTTGGGTTTTGCAGCTGTGGTTGTATTCTTATTTTCCAGCCCTAGCTCCTGTCTCATCCGCTGTTCCAGCCTGGGATCTACTTACTTACGGCTTCATGTTCAAGAATGCCGTGGAGAACGAGAAGAACTTCGAGGAGTGCCTCAAGTTTTTTGCTTCTCTGTCTGTTGATCGTCCCGATGCAGACTTTGCTGTGTTTCTTGGCAGATCTCACGGTCCTTCATGGTACAGGGCCGATGTCCAATCCCCAGAGTTCAAAGCATTTTGGTCTGTTTGTGTAACCTCCCGAGATTTGTTTGTTGGCTGTAGTTTGAACACTCTCAACTCCAGATGTGGCATGGAGCTTTATGCACCGAACCAATTCTGTCAGCAGTTAGGGTACTGCCAAGACATACCATTCCCGCCACTATTTTCCTTCAACTACAGCTATCCCTTTCGGTTCATGATTGGGGATTCAAAGATTTTGGTTACCAAACTTGCTGACATCAGAAACACTCTGCAGACACTGATCCTACCAGACCCTCCATTCAGACCAAGCTGCACTTCCGCTTACAAAAGTTGGTGGCGAGACTACTTTCATCCTCGGTTTCTTGGTGTTATGGAGAATATTTCTGTTCTGGCCCCTCCACAGCTCACCAAAAAATCTGAAGGGAAGAAAGTAGTAAAAGAGAATGAGGACCTGGAATCTGTCATGGCCGCCCAGATCAGCCAGCCAAATCTGCCAAGGAGAATTCCCAAACTTCAAGTCAAAAGGAAATTTGCTACTCCTGCAGATTCCACGGAAGAAGATACCCCCTCCAAGCAGCGAAGAACTGGAGGTAAATTCGCTTTGGCTTGCAACTTTGTGACATGTTTTTCGCTAACACTCACTTTTTTTTCTTTTTTTTAGGGATCAAAAGGTTAGCAGTAAAACCATCTGCAGCCAAAAAACTTATCAAATCTGCCTCTCCCTCGAGGTCCTCTTCTGCCACGAAAACCGAGACAACCTGACAAAGCAGAAGATGTTTCTCTCGGTCCTGCTGCCACAAAAGCTCCTGTGGAGGACATACCTGCTGAGGGTGATGGAAGCAATTCTGGCTCCTCTCACACCAAATCTGGCGATGGTTCTTCACCCGCCACAAAGGTTAGGGGTTCTAGATTCTCTTTACGCATAGCAAGTAAAAGCTTTAGAACAATTAGACCGAATGAACTCATCGATCTAAGCCCAGACAAAGAGAATACCCCTACACCCGTAGCCTCTCCTACTAGGCATGTTCATGTTGATGACATTGAGGTTGTTTTACTGTTCTGAAATCTGCTTAGATCTTGAAATCTGTCACCAAATCTGCCAGTTACCATTTTTGATCTTGTCTTTACATTTTATAGTGTTGCTGCTGATGTGCCCATGATTGATGATGATTTGGAGAATGAACTCCTTGCTCAGCTGGATATGTTGATGGATACTCCGGCTAAATCTGGATCTGCCACAGATAGCAAAGGGAAGGCAGTTGCTGAAGAAGTGGATTTTGACATCAACCTTCCTACCTAGGAGCAGATTAGTTTTGCGATCATGACCATGCAAGAGCTCCTTGGTGGCGGTCCTTCCCATTTCTGCAAGGTGCCGGACCAGCCAGCCGCCTTTGAAGCGGCTCAAATCCTTAGCCGAGCTCCACAATTATCATCATCTCAACAAAAATTCTGGGCAGACTTCACCTCCATTTATACGCACTTCAGCAAGAGATTTCGGGTGTTAGAAAGCAAAGTGGCAACTGCAGAATCCGTGAAAAAATCTGTAGCAGATAGCACCGCTGCTGTCTTCAAGAAGAAGGAAGAATTCATGGCAGCAAAGGAAGCTCATATCATGCAAGTCACCCATGTCCAAGGGCTTAAAGAAAAAATCTCAAACCTTGAAGACGAGCTTTCGGAGTTGAGAAACCAAGTTCCTCTCGCGGAGCAGAGTGAGAAGAATTTGGCAGAACAGAGAAACAAGCTCCGCGTAGACATGGAAGTTGGTTTGAAATCTGCAGCCAAGATCAAGGAGCAGCTACCTTCTTTCACAGCCTTTGCAGATGAAGCCGCCGAAGAGATAAAGAACATGAGAGAAGAATGGAGTTCATGGCAAAACAACCTTAGTTGATTTTTCTCTTATGTATCTCTGTCTCTTTGTTGAAATTGCACATTGTCATGTTTGAACATATTGTTTGCGGCCTATTGGCCATGCAAACTTCTTTTCAATGTTGATCTCTTTCTTGGCTCATATTCTGGAAATCTGCTTGTACTTTTCGTCTATACTATGGTACAGGTTGAAATCTGTCATGGCCGAAATCTGGCCACTGTGGTGGTTCACAGCCAGATCTGGCCTACTCACAGATTTCGCTCAGCACTTTTATTGAATGATAAAATGCTTAAAACAATGGAATAAAATACTATACAAATCCTACCTCAAATCTGTCTCAGGTAGAATCAATGGTATCCAAACCTCTAGCCTCCCATATCATAGGATAGTAAGGCTTAAGGTAGATTCCATTTATTTTTCGAGGATGTAACTCTCCATTTAATGATTC